GACACAATGGGTGGATCTCTTGGCCTCCATCTGTGACCTCTCTAAAGGAACATCTCTTCTGCAGAGCTCACTATGACTTGCCTAAAGCTACTGTGAAGAGTGCATCACACTTTGACTTTTCTTCTGTCCAGTCCTGCTCCCCTTTGCTACTGAGTAAACTGTCTCCAACCACATAGCCAAATCAGTCTGTTTTGCAGGCTCTGACAACCTTGCCATTGACAATCAAGGTATCATTTCACCCTTTATACTTTACAGCCTTAAGAGAGTTAATTTTTTTTCTCTTAGTTAAAATTTGCCACTCAAGTGACAGAAGCAAAACCAGAAAAGAGAATGACTGCTTCTTGTGTCATTTAAGGATTCTGAATCTTGGGTTATGATCTTCCAATTTAACAGAAAACTGACGGTATCATTATTGAGTCTTAAGTTAATCTTATGCAGCAGATATTTTTAACAACGAATATGCTATAAGGCTCATCTGCCTGCTGACTCAGAACCTGTGTGGTAACAGGTCTGAAAAAAGAGATTGTCATATTAAATCAGTAATCCATGTACTAAAGAAAATTTACAATGAGTTCCACTCCACTCTCTCATATGCATCATTATAAACCTTGGGGGAAAGCCAGCTGTGACAGGTGGTGCATAAAGTGGTAATTTCTAGTTTTTTCTTTTAATATGATACTAGAAGTCAATGAGTGAAATTTAGTCTTAAGGCATTCTAGTCAATCATACCAAAACTAAGCATTACAGAACTAAAGAGACATTAAACTGAATGGAACTTGAAGAGCTCATTTCAACTTGACTCAAAGCAAGATTTTCCTGAATCATTTCAGAGACTTTTTTTTTCTGCGGTGTTCTTTCAGCTTTCCAAAGTTACTCATTCCAGAATTTCAAACTCCTCATCAATACTAAATTTTTCTGCAGGTAATAATAATTTTTTTTCGTTTCTTTTATATTGGGAAAGTAAGGCAGCTGTCTAATACCTTCCTAATCATCTTTCATGCATTTGGAAAAGATAAAAGGCTCTACCAACTTCTCTGCAGTAAGTTTATTTTAACTTGTTATTAGATTTTGCTTCCTAAGCTTCCATCTAAGTTTAAATCTTCCTGTTAAATAGAGAAATTAGAGTAGAAGCTTGACTAATGAATAAAAATTGGTACAGAGCCCTTACCAGTAATATTTCATTATATGAATACTAATAAAATTGATTAATTTATGGATAACATATAATTGGCCTACTAAAACTCCAATTCCCAATCATGAGACAACAAGAAAGTAAACAAAAAGTCAACATGTTATAGTGGACCAAAAAGTAGTAGAGAAAAAAATTGGGATTCTCAATGGTATCTTTAGGCCCCTGAATCAACAGTAGCAACAATCCATCTCCTGACTTGTATGAGATGAATGAGACTCTATTTCAGTCACTATGCATCAAGTTTTCCATTACTTGCAGCTCAACACAATCTTAATTACCATCATGATGAGATAGTCACTATTGTACTTTTACACATGATGTGTTCCACAGAACCAATCTTCCCTTCTTGATGCAAGTGTTCAGTGGTATATTACTGTTTATATCATTTAAACTAATGCAAAATCTTCTCGTAATATTTTGACATTTATCTGTCATTGTTATCATAATTCAATAAGAATATGTAAGATAACATGAGTAGAGTACCATCATTTACCCAACCTGCCTTTTTCATCCCTTAAATGGTCAAAATGCATTTATCAAAAAGTATAGGAGAAGGCAGAGTCCCTAAGCATGCTTTGTAAAAAATATCATAATTAATGAACAAAATATGCCAAACTCTATCAAGATTTCTTGGTGATTTGCTACATTCAGACCAACTTAAGCACAAGTTTGTACCTTGCCCAATTCCATCTAAAGACTACATAATGAAAAATCTTTTGACAAGTTGATTAATAATACTGAGCTGTTAAAGTTCAGCTGAGTGAGCAATTAAACATTCCAAACAGCAATGAACCTTCAGAAGGTAATTTATGATAATTTTATGCACAAGTGCTCAGTGGCTTTTTAATTTGATAGAATGTTAGTAGCACGAATTTCTAACAAGGGAGTGTCAGGGTTCCATACATCACTGAGATTACTTAAACATTTCAAACGTGGCTGATGAATGAAGTTTCTTGAGATGTGGGGAGATACAGAAGGTGTTAGAAGGTTGAGATTATTCATCATATCAATTATTGAGAGTGGATGCGCTGACATCATACTCCCTGATCATATTTTATGTCCACAGTAAAGATATGTCAAGCTTGAAATAACAGACTTTCCTAACTACAGTATCTGCAGGTAATTCAACTCCCTTTACTTGCTCCCCCTTTTTCTTTACACCTTCCTTCAAACTCATTGCCACCTTTTTCATTCATACCCACATTTTAAAATATCCAGACCCCTTACTCTGGGAAATTACAGGGAAATAACTAAGAATAAAGGCAAGAAGAGAAGAACCAAAGAAAACGAGAAAAAAATGCGAATAAATACAAATATAGAGTCATACACTCCCAGTCAGCAAGGACTGGTGGAATAATTTCCTTTAGCTCCCATCCTTTACACTAATACACAAATATGCACACAGAAACATGGTTTCATTTTATACACGCAGACACACACCCCTACTCCAAGTACAGAACTCCCTCCCTCTACCACATCCCCAGAAATGGCTATCCAGCCCTCTTTTAGCACCTCCATTCTTAAATTAACACATAAGATCTCTGGCAGCCTTTGTCTTTTCCGATCACAGAAAAATGACATGGTCTATTCTAAGCAAAAATGAATTCATTCTTGCTGCAATTTCTACCCTAGAGCCTTCAAACTTTAAAACCAGGAAAGACCCTGGAGATCATTTTGACTAGCATTCTCACTTTTAGCTCATGGACTTTGTTCACTAAATTATTTATGTTTTCTTCTTCTATTTTTAAATTTTGATTTAAATGAATTATCCACCTTGAAAAAAATTGAAATACTTAACACAAAATCTGAATTTCTAGCTTGAAAAATTAGAAGCTGTAGAAACACATGTCCACATAAAATTACCACATTAAATATTTAATGATTGGGGCTTAGTAGCAGCTTTTCACTTAGAGGAGGCAGACTTTCTCTAGTTAATCACAAACCTTCCCCTTCCAACAGTCTTACACCAGGGTAGGTTTACTGATGTATGGCACCAACCTGAGCCATGCAAAAATTTAAGTTTGTGATCCCTGGCTTAGATTAACTGCTTTGATTTACAGTCACAGAAATTATGCCAACAGTAATTACTTGACCAATGTCACCCAGGTACGTGGTAGCAGAACCATGATCTTTTCCCTCATTCAGTGGTCTTTGCATTACACTTTGGTTTTAGCTTAATTCGTGTTTCTTGTCAGTTCTATATGTTCCCTTTTAGTGTAAAAAGGAATGTTATATTAATTTGATCAAAATACAAGTTATAATTCTATGCCAATCTCCATCCGCTGAGATTATAATAAGATAAAACAGACTAAATTCTTTTAATCAAATCCTGCAGGACTGATTTAATCAGTACAAAATTGAAAGAGCTTTAGATCAAAACAGACTAAATTTAACAAATGAGCAATTATGCATTTTTTGAAGATGTTTTGTTGTCCAATCATTTCTCTCCATCTTTGAGAGAAAATCAAAATCTTTGCTCTGAAATCAAAGGAGCCCATTAATCAGCAATCTTATCTTGAAATAATAACAAATATAAACTGGCTTTACACCTATGTATGACTTCTGAATGTTATATATCTACACAGAAAATATCAAATGCTGACAAAAGTCAGTTGTATTTCTCTGCTGCAAGCACAGAGATTGAGTGCAAAATCATCATGACTGTTTTCCAATGCTTTTATTTCATCAAATTGGTTGGAAAACAAAACCAAACAAATAAACACAAGCTCATCTAGCTATCATCTCTGCAGATGTCATTTCTTGGTAATGTGCTATTATAATTCATGTCAGGTAAACAGCCTTGCAGATGAAATCAGAATTATTCAGGCAAGTTTCTTCATACCACCCTGTAAAGCTGTTTCCTTCACATGGGAAACTTCCACAAAGACTACTTGTTTACAGAGACCATGTGCCTCATGATCCTCTTTTGTGTTTCTCTCTCTTTCTGGTACCAAGCATATGTTTTTAATGTTAACATTCCCTCATCTATAGAGACCATCTGCTTATTAGAAAGAGTGCTCTCCTCCCTTGTAAACCAGATTTTTTGCATGAAGACTCCTCTCTTACAGTTCCATAGATTCAAGGGAAGGAGAAAAGACTGTAGTCCCCAGGTTAAACAAAGGGAAGCATTTATACGAGAGGAAAGTGCTTGTGTGAATCCTAAGAGGTGTGTCATATACTCCAAAGCTCGAAGCTGTGCTTTTCCTGCTGTCATAGCCAGGGGATAAAACCTGATGGTCTTGTCTCCCTGGTAATCACCACCATTTAACTCTAGAAACTCAGGTGCTTTCTTTTCCATCTTTGAATCTGCACCCAATCTCAGGAATTCAAATATGATGATAATGAAATGTAGGTTTCACTGAAGATAATCCACTTAGATTTGAAAGTAGAATGGATAGAAATTAATTGGCAGATGAAGTTACGGGTAGAAAGAATAACATGTGCAAAGTCATAATGAAAGAATTGTGAACTACGGTAGAACAAATTGCTCAAAATTTTTAAAGTTTAGGCTTTGTGTACAGGAGAAGCAAGCAATGAGTGAAAGAGAACAGCAGGAAGACAAAATACTGAGCATGGAAAACCTCAGAGATGTTTAAGGCCCATTTGGCTGGTAAATCCTGAGTTTAAAATTTTATGCCTCTGGGGTGAGAGGACAAGATTTCAATTAAGAGATTAAGAAAGTAGGGCTGGGGATTTAGCTCAGTGGTTCTGGCACCTGCCTCGCAAGCCCAAGGTCCTGAGTTCGATCCCCGGTACCAAAAAAAAAGAGAGAAAGATTAAGAAAGTAAAAGATAGTTAGTGAACCTACCTGAGTCTTCAGGGAGAAGCATAATCTCCGCACAAAATCCTTATTTGACTTCTATGTTCAAAAACACAAGAGTTCTTAGCTATCATCAGCCTTTTGAGTCTTCACCTATCCACAGCTGCTGTCCACATCTTTGCTCTGCACTGCCTAGAAGAGAATGGGTTGAGAGTAAGATTCATGGTGTAGCCTATTGAAATTTTTCCAGAGGAACTTTTCTCCAGAAATACTTGAAAGAAACTTCATTATTTAATAGGTAAGTAGGAATGAGAAATGGATAGTGATGAGTGGTGGGGAAGATGTTAAGAGCAGAACCACCCTTGTTGACTGAACCACCAACATCCCACTTTGGAAAGAAAGAAGTGGCAGAAGGTGGCACAAAAAGCAAGCTGTTAGTATCTGAGAGCATTCCTGCCTGCCTCAAGGACATGAATCAGGAGAGGAAACAGAGAACTATATGTAGTTAAATGTGCTCAGTTGCTCTCTTACCCAAACTGATATATTTTTCAGAGAGAAAAAAAAGGCATAATGTAAAAGTGGGGAACACCAGCTACAAATTACACCGTGCCAGGCACACAAGACAAAAGGTCACTCTTCTTTTTTTAATGTCACTATGTATATATATTTTATTCTTTTATTTTTATGTGAATGCAATATGTGTAGATATTAATAAAGTATAAAACACTCTTCTATAAAAAACAAAATTTCATAATAAAATAGAGAATAACAATGGTTAACACACTGTGTGTGATGATCTTAAAAGAGTGGCCAAAATATAGTAAAATATAGTACAAGTTGTACACAAAAATATAGTACAAGTCATACACAAAAAAGATTCTTACAAAAAATAAACAGATAATAGCACAAAACTTTCTTTTCAGTGAATTAAGAGCAGGGCTAGATTCCTAATTAATCTCTCTTCACTCATGTCTCTTCTTTCCTCCACTTGCTTTCTCTGACCTGGTGGGCAGTATCACTATCCACCAGGTGTCTAAACCCAGAAACATGTTTTCCATCCTTTTCTCGGCCCCTTATGCTACTCCCTTGCCTAACATCCCTCAGTTTCCATGCATTCCCACCGCACTTACAGGGAAATTCACACTTCTGATCATGGTCTAGATGAGCTTATAGAGCTTATACAGTTTAATCTTGCCTATGCCTAGAACCTCAGCTGATGTCCTTTTACCTCTTTTCTGTACTCATCTGGTTTTATTTAAGCTTCTAGAGTCAGCTAAGCAGTTTTCTGCCTTATGGCCTTTGTTTCACCATTCCCTGTGTCCATTTTTCACTGCCCCTAGTTCTGTGTTTGCCTGTTTTCATCACATTAAGCCAAGTATCTTCTTGATCCCCATCTAAAGGCGTTCTCCCCCTGCCCTACCCCAGCAAAACACCACACACACAAAAAATCAAAGCAACCTATTGGATTTTCTTCACAGAGTTTATCAAAGTTTTGACTTGTTTATCAATTTGCTCACTTGTTTATTGTCTGTCTCTCCCACTAGTAAGCAGGAAAAATGCCACTTTGTCCATGCTAACTTGCCAGTGACCTAGCCTAGTGCCCAGCTCTTGATAGACACATATTTACTCTTTTTGGAGCATATGTTGGATCACTGAACAATATTCAAGGCACTTTTGCACCCTTAGAACCTACCACCCTTAATCAAAATAAAAAGGAGAAAAGGGAAGATAATGGGCTTTAACCCCCACCTACTAAAACACCGAGCAAAACCAAACAAATCGCTAAGGAGAAAGTTTATATTCTTAACCTTTGCTTTGAGTGTCTATCTAGATTTTCAAACTGCTGCAAGAAACTAAGGGATAATGGAGATTTGTACTGGGTCCAGTTAACGCTGTCCCTTCTAACTTCCGGAACTTCTCTCCTGCTGTCTCTAGTGTTTCATAGACATCAGCTTGATATTCTTTGAACATGGCTCAGAACCAAAACTGGGCCTGCTGGTGAATTTCTCATAGCTCCAGGCTAAACATCTTTAGTTATCTGACAATCAATATGCAAGAATGTAATTATTTGTTTTCTAGGAGTTAGAGGAACAAGATCATTCTAAATTCTTGTGTTATTAATACATGGTAATGAAAGTGAAATATTAATGACTTAGTGAAGTGTATTAAGAATTTGAAGTGCTGTGCAAACTGAAAACTTGCATCTTGGAAGGGGAAGAAAGCTCAAATGTACCAGATGGCTTGGTGACAGCCATTTTATTTAGTGCAGTCTCAGCAGATATGTTTGATAGCCTTCAGGAAAGGCCATAAACTATGCAAGGGAGGGTGCTGTACCTGATTGTCTGGGAGAGCTATGCCCAAGTAATCAAATGGTTGGAGGCAAGCTGCTTTCTTTGTGTCTCAAGTATGTTTAGCACTGCGTGAGATATTAGGGCATCTCGGGCCATCAGTGAACAGCAGTGGCAAAATCTTGTGGTTCACCACCTCCCCTGCACTGAGCTGTTAAATCTAGACTTGCATAGAGTAATGACATTTATACATCTTAAAATGTGATGGAATTAAAATATAAGAGTCCCAGACTAAGAGAAGAAAGGCACTCCAGCCAGCCCAACCACAGAGGAGTGAAGTGACCCTGAGCAAGTAGTGCTAAACCCTTGGGTTGAAGTTTCCTCATCTGCACCCTGAAGGCAATGAAATCTACCTCTCTGCCTTTATGGGATTTTTGAAAAGGTTAAAAGGTATAACACTGTATGATTCACAAGCAAATTATGGTAAAAGCAGAGGATGAAATTGCTTTAAGGCTAAATTTACTTTCTCGACTCTTGTTACATTTTTGTGTCTAGCTTATTCATATTTACACAAGAGACACATTACTCAAAAACTGTTTCTCCTTCCAATAAATGTTTATTCAAAGACTGTCCTGTATTTCTGGCTGATTGACAAACTAGGAATATATACGTAAGTGCAGGGGCATGTAGGTGTGGGTATATTCTGTCATTTTTGTGTATTTCTTTCATTATTCTCCCTGATGATTTCAACATTAGTTAAAAAATGACAGAAGAAAGATATAGATTGATATCCTCACTTTACCTCCATTAAAGAAATATGGTATGCTCCAGAGCAAATGGAAAGAACTGCCACAGGACATGGCAGAAAGAATGACATTCCACAGAGGATGGGACATAAAAATGACTGGAAAAATAATTTCTACTTTTTCAATAAGGAAAACAATCCCCTTCCTTGGAATTTCTTTGTTATTTTCCTATTAATTCTGTGGAAAATATGCCATTAAGAATAATCAGGAAATGTCAGCCAAACAAGATTACCAAAGAGCTATGACTTAGAAACAGAAATCCTGTGTCATTCTCCCCTAAAAGGGGTCTGGTATTTAATGAGTAAAGACTGATGTAGTTTCACCACCCTGCACCTATTTTCTGGTCCTAATAAATCACAGTAAGCAGTTTATCTCTAGGGATTAGTAAGGGTGTTAAAAATGTAGACATTGTACTAGTTCAACAGCAATATTCTTTTGTTATTTCTTAATCTCTCTTGGCTAAATTCCCTCAGACTCTGGATATGTTTCTTAGATACTTCTGGATTTTATCATCAATTTTTCCTCAGATTCTATTTTACTATCTCTCCTTGTAGCCATCCCTAATTTGTTTACTTATCTGTACAACAAATACTTACCAAAAGCCCACTATACTACATCTAGAGCACTGACCCAACACTGAGAAAGATGTGCGTGAATGGAAAATCTCTATTCTTAAGGATTTAATTAAAACTGAGTCAGGGTTGACATCATTCAAACATCTTTAATGATCTTCTCATTGACATACACAAACAAAATCACTACTTTTTAAAAATCAGGATAAAAGAGGTCTGTTCCAGCCACAAACCCCCACATTTCAGTGCTTAATACAATGAAAGTGTATTCTCACAACCTGATGCAGATTTTGTGGTGTTTCTGTGCTGATCTCATCAGTGGGGACTCAGAGTCTCTGGTTTCTTCCAGGTTAACAGCTCTGCCATCTCACAGCCTGCCACTTACTGCCACAGAGACGCAATGTCTCCCTTATTCCCTCCAGAATCCAACTAGGACAATGCATTACCTCTCCTCAAACTGTTAGTGAAAATTAGTCCCTCAGCCTCACCTAGATGTACAAGATGTGGGGAATAGTGAAGATGGTGTGAATTTGGGGTGAATACTAACATTTTACAACACAGTTTTCTAGAGGAAATATAAACAACACTTAGACTGTCAAATTTCTTCATATTTATAATATATATAAAATATTAATTTCCATATTCAAGCTAATATCTAGTATAGTATCTGATACACTCAATAGTTTTTGTGAAATTTAATATGCATCAAATATAAATGAAAGCTAACTTAAACAAATTTAACAAGAAAAACAAACATTACACTATTTTATATTGCCTGTAACTAGCAAGTAAGTTTTACAGATAATAGGAATTTAAGAGATGAGGATAATCACCTAGATCTGACATAGAAAAAACTGTTATTTTATTTTAAGCTAATGAGATTTGGCTGAGGAAATGGTAAAGACTTGGATAGGGAGAAAGGTGATGTGTAGTAGTTTTGTGATCAAAGATGTGAAGGTAGGCAAAGGCAAAGAGCATGTGAGAATCAACACTGATGCAGGAAACTGATTGTAACAGAACTTTGGAGAAGGAGTTTCAGTAACTGAAGCATAAAATGATCATCCGCTCGCTATATGTAACACTTGGAGTAAAAATAGCAATATAGAGGTTACAGAAGGCAGAGTTGGCTCTGGCTCCTCTCCTCAAGCCCATTCAGATGTAGTCTTCAGCCCTCAGTCCTGTCTCAGAATCAAGCCAACAGACAACTACAAAGAAAGCACAAGGAGTGCAGCACTAAGCACTTCTTCCTGATGCAAAAAAACTTCCTGACATTTTGGCAAACCAAACTTGTATAGAACAAGCCATGCAACCCATGAAATTGGTACAGCAAACTCTGCCCCATTCTGAGATCCCAGGCATCTATGTAAACAAACAACTCAAAGATATGAAATGAAATCAGAACTAGGATGGATGCATTAGGCAAACAGGATGCATTGTCCATTTAGGAAAATAATTTATATATTTATAACTTACTCATTATTTAAAAATATTTCTTCCAAAGAAGGAATGTGTATATATAATTGGATTC